CCGGACTTGAACCGTTGACCTTGACTGTGGGGGCATGGGAGCTTAACCGCTAAGCTATGGGACCCATACCCTCATATAACAATGTTTATAAAGAATATATAAATTATATTTAATTAATAAAAGATAATAATTATAAAATTATAGAGTATAAAACATTTTATCGAATTTGAAAAGAAGTAGCAGCTGAAATATAGTTAATGACAAAGGCATTAGACTTGTGTGACAAATGTGAACAACTTTATACTAAAATTCAAATCATCAATGATATAAAAGCTAAACAAAGACTTTATACTGAATTTGAGCTTCATAATGCAGCTGCAATGGTTTAACATCAACTCTATAATGAAAATATTAGAATTAGTAAACAATTAAAATTTGAATTTATATATATTTGTTATGATTGGGCTTAAAATGTTCAAATTCCTTATTTGCTATAGCAACCTAATGGATTGTTTTTTAAATCACCATTTAATGTTTATATTTTTGGAATTGCTAATACTGGTTTGAACTTGTAGTTCAAAAAAATTATATAATCAGCAAGTACCAATTTTTACAAAAAACACCTAAAGGCACTAATACTACTATTAATTTTATATATGATAGTTTGTATTATTAGAATTTAATACAAAAAAATCTAAAAGTAATATGTGATAACTGCAGTGGTCAAAATAAAAATAATCTTATATTTTGGTTCTATTCATAGCTTATCTTTATTAGCAGTTTGACACAATTAAATTAAATTTTATAATTCCTGATCATACTAAATTTATTTGTAATTTATAATCAAATCTCTTTATCATAAATATAATATTATGAGTATAGACCATGTTGAAGCTATTATTAATCAATTAAAGAATAAAAGTAATGTAGCAGTTAGGTATGATAACAAAGATCAGATAGGATGGAATTATTATAATTTCGAAAATTTTTTAGAACCTTATTTTATAAAGGTTGATGGCATACATATGTATCAACATTTTTTTTACTTTTATTATAATCAGCCTAGAAAAGTTTTTATGTCAATAGAATCTGATAGTTTAAAAACAGAATCTACTATTTGTAATCATATTTATTTTAACCCTTATCAATAATTAGACATAATTCTTTTAAAACCTTTATCTTTAAAACATCAAACACAATTGTTTAAAGATATTCATTTATATATTCATGACTCTCATAAAAATGAATTATGTTTTGCTCCAAATGAGCAATAATATATATATGTTTGCATTATCTATCAATTTATGTTAATTATTAATTGACTATATCATATGTATATATGTTAATTTATAATCAATAAACCAATATTTCATATAATAAATTTTAGCAAACATGTTTATAAAAATAATTTTATAAACTTTTTTTTGTGAATTTAAAAAAGATGATTTGTATATTTAAGCAATTTTAAAAAGTCTAAAATTTTTTACTTGTAAATATAAAAATATGATTTTAGTGATTGTTTTTTAATGAACTTGAATTATAACAAGTTTGATTGCTATCACTATATTAAAAAATAAAGTTGATTAATAATTAACAAAATCTGCAGAAATATTTAAAATAATCATTATGCATTAGTATGCAAGATCTAAATTTAGAATTAAAAACTGCTTATAAGTAAAAGACTTTGATTGAGAATTATAGCAAATCATATTATAATATTACACAACAAAAATTATATTACAAATAGAACATTTGTTTAAGAACATAATCAAACAAATTATCAAAATTTGATTAAAAAGTCCGAAGCTCTATAATGATAAAAACTGACTTATTTTAAACTAATTAATATTATATATTAACTTTTTATATATATTCAAATTAAAGTTTTTTTTTTGTAATTTTTTAATAAATAATTTAAGTAAATAGAAAAGTAATAAAATTATTTTTATAAGAGTGTGATGACCTAGTGAAGTAGATAGGTTGTTAACCCAAATGGCAGGTCTAGAGTTCAAATTCCAGTAATGGCAAAAATTTGCAATTCTTTCTGTATTATGGCTAACTGTCTTCTGTGATTGGTTGAGATAGGATATCTGTAACTTGTGTCATACCAGCCTGACTGGAAGGTTTAGGCATTCGTGCAATGTTGTATAAAGAAACACAAACTGGTACCAGGTGGTGCGAACCCAAGATAAATCCTTAGGCTGTGTAAATCATGGGAACCATATAGGAGAATAGAAGCCCACTTGGAAAACCCGAATAGAGAGGTAACCCGAACTTTCAATGGTATTACTGTAAAGACTAGATCTATGAAACAGAGCTAGAACTTGTGAAACTGGGCAAAGAGCTGGCCTTTGAGGAGAGGCTGAATGGAACCAACCAGGCTGCCAGAATTTCTGGGTTCTGGAGGAAAAGGTTATATGCTGGCAAACATGTAAACCAAAAAGTGTATAGTTACAACCTGCCTTTCTATGCTATCTGGTTTGGGAGCTTGGTGAAACTTGAATTGAATACCAAAGTAGTCAGGATATGTTGTGAAGTCAGTACTGGGATTGGGGTGAACTCTACAAGGGCATAGCAGTTAAATGATACACCCTGACCACCAGTGTTAGTCTCGGTCATAGTGATATCAGGTTAGCTGTAAGAATGGGATACAAAAGATTCTGGAAGGTTTAGTACAAGGTCAAAGGTTCCTCATATGAATAAACTGCTTTAAAGACTTAGTGACCATGGCATATTTGCACCAGTATCGATCAGGGCATCTTGGTAGGTGTAAGTAGATGGGTGGATACGGGAACAGAGTAGTTAAATAGGAAACTTACAAGTAGGTTTCAGGTATGGCAGCTAGTATAGAACCTTTGGGCAGACTACTTAAATTAGACAATGACTAAA